GGTCGATGCACAATTATCAGATATTGACCCAATTGGCCCACCACGTTGCTGAAATTGACGCAAAGAAATCAGGATAACGTGATAATGTCGGCGTCAGCAATTTATGAAGTACCGCGTGTTTAGAAAGCTGCAACTAGTTAGATGTGGATAAAAAATACTGCATTAATTGACTTGAATTCCTAGCGGCAGGGATAGACCACACCTGCTGGAGGTTATTGTTTCCCTCCGCTTTATGATCTAGAGTGAATGGGTTTTCCTATCGGTTACAAATTACGCTGAAAATTACGAAAATCAAAACAAGTAAGGACACAGACGCTAGCTTAGGCCTAACCAGCGGGGTTAATTAGTCTACGTAGAATAAACTACTTAGGCCGGTTCTTTGGTGAGCAAACCATTTTACTGCGTATGGAAGTTTGGTTTAAAGAACTTTAAAACCTCAGATTATTGCGTCCTGAGACTACAACAAGACAGACTACAGAACAACCCAGCAATAGACTTACAGACAGAGATATGCCTTTACAAATGGTTTGGAAGACCACAAACTTTTGTATTCTGAATAAGAGTAAATCTAACGTCTGGCAAATACGAGTTGGTTATTAATTAAATCTTAATCCCGGTTAAGAAAAAGTCTTCACATTGAATGAGGTAAAACATTGAGACCAGAATAAAGCCGAGAGTATTGGTGTCTTACACAAGCACGGACTGTAGGGATGCATTATAGATCATTAGGCTTTCATGTGATAAAAAATATTTAAAACGGGGCCTTCAATTTACTGACAATTCGGACGTGGGAAACTATCTAATTATAAATGTAGCTTCTTTTCTGGCATTATTATTATTATTATTATTAAAACGTGGCTGTATTGCCCAACCAGACACTCAAACCCTTATGGCACACTAACGCAATAGGTTTTAAAACGAGACGGTCGCAAAACGTACCTTCCATTCTACAAATGAATCACCAGGCTTTTCCGGTTTTTTGGCTCGCATAACTGCTAATTCCATATGTTTTGCGCCAGTCTGTACAACTTCGACAAGCGCTTTGATGGCCATTTTGATGGTGTCTTCTTCGGTTTCAACGGCCGCTGGTGAATAATTTTTCTCCAGAAATTCGCGTGCCGCCTTGGAATTCTTGCCTATCGCGTTCGCCTGATTTTCGAAAAATTAAAAAGCTTTATCGACATTACCAGCCACTCGAAATGTGTCCCAGACGGATCAGTCTGGTACAAGTGAGGAGTGCCATCTTGGTTAATTCCAACAATAAGAGTAGAGACACCAAACGGTCTGCGGCCGTTACTCTGGGTATATTTCTGTTTGATCTGTGCCATGTAACGCGCCACATATTCGACGGAAACTGGATCTTCGACAGTTAGCTTGTAGCTCTTGCACTCAATACGTATCCTATCAATGAGAACGCGGGCGTCAGCCGTAAGACCTACACCTTAAAAAAATACAAGCGTCTCACCTGC